TAGAAGACATATTGACAGATTATTTTCAAAACTATAACAATGCAGCACACAGAGTATTATTTCTACAAGTTTTGAATACAATGATCAATAACTAATAACAGGATTAATACGCACTTATTTAACAACCTAAGGAGTGTTAATCCTGGTTTCCACTACCCTCTCAGATTCCCAGATCCTCGCAGGAGATCTTGGACAAAGGTGAGTAGAGGCAGATTACTTACCTTAATGACTGGGTCCAAGAAATTATTTAATATATATTGACTAACTAAAAAATAAATTTTTGGGTTTAGAGGTTACTATAGTCTGAAATATTAATTTCAGAATAAGAGATTAATCAGTAAGTAGCAAGAAATTGAAACAGAACTCTGAGTCAGACACAAGAACCCTCCAAGTTGCAGTGATTCAGTATGAACTCAGTGAAACTCAGGTTGAGTCAACTCAGCTCACCCAACTCAGTATGAGCAGCACCGATTTTCCAAGAACAGAGTACATAAACAACAGATCAAAGCGAGTTAGTGTCGAGTTATATCATATATATCAAGATTATTCAAAGATTAATAAAGCAGTAACTAGATCTTGCAAGATCTTCAAGAAGATTTCAGATCTGACCAGTCAGTTACCAGTCGAAAAGTGAATCAAGTACGACAAAAAAAATTCCAGAGAGTTTTCTTTACAAATATATGAGAACACTTCAGATCGTGCAAGTTCAGAACGAGAAAAAATTTTACAAAACACAAAATTTTTAAAAAAACTGCTCTGATACCACTTGTTGGTCCCAGAGTTGATATAATCTTGAAGTTTAATGGTTTATTCTCGAATCAAAATTATTTCAGAAATAATATAGCGTAAACAAAAGTAAGAACACAAGATATGTTTTGCTCCAAAATGGAGCCCGGATGTTCAGTCCAAGGACCTAATCACCTGTTGAGCCTCAATCAAAAGATATGCTCGAGTTTCTACTAATTTCAAAAAGAATCAGTACAGGATGTTCGAAGAAATCAGGGATTTCTTCATCTTTTTCTAGCCTCTATTTCACACAGATTTCCTTTCAACAATATCACACAGATCACTCAACTTTACAATCCTTACATAAAGGACTTTCAAAATCACACAGATTTCATATTACATTTTCAGAGAAAGGAGAGAGACGAAAGAACTCCCACACAGAGAGAAAGACTGAAGGTTCTAGAGAAAATCAGAGAGCGTATGCCAAAAGCCAGACGACCAAGGGTCAAGTAAGTATCAAACAGTTGGACCGACCTTATCTAACGATTGGGGGTGTGCCACGTGTACGGCACACACCCAACCATAGGAGGCAGATAAATCGTGAAACCAAAAACGCGAGAAATGTTAAGTTTGGGCTCCTTGTTTGTTTAATTCAATAAGGGGCCCAAAGTAGGAAATTGTGAGGCAGGCCAACACTTTTAACAAAAAGCATGAACATCCATTAGCTTTGAAAATAAAACTTAATTATAACTTTCAATATAATGATGAGAAATGTTAATTCATGAAAATGACTAGAATGACATCATAAATTGCCTATAAATAGTCAATTGCACAGTAAAATAAAGGGTTTGAATTCTATCCTAAAATAGCTTATAAGCAAAACTTAATTATGATTTTCAACATAATGATGAGGAATCTCAACTCACGAAAATGACAGAAACGGCCTCATAAATCACTTATAAATAGACCATTCAAAATAAACAAAGGATCCGAATTCTATTTTAAAAAACCTGGAGATTGAAAGAAAATCTCTAATAAAAATGCTTCAAATTGAGAGTATTTGGGGTCGGGCCTCTCGAGAATTGAAAGAGTATATCTGATCGAGAAATAATTTTGAGTTGAGAGAATGCTAGAATCTCAATCTCTCTCTCATGGCTTTGAAATGCATAAAAAATTTCTACAAAATGGAAAACCTTGCCGAAATTGAGAGAGACAAATAATGTCGTTGACTTTAAAAAAAAAACTACACTTTCAAGTCAATCGTTTGGCACTGTCTACGGAACTTTTACCCAAGTCAAAATATTTAAGAAAAAAGAAAAGCCTATAAACCGAACACAATAAGGATTGACAGATTGGGAGCTCTTTCTTTTTTTTTTAATAGTAACTGGGAGGTCTTTTTTTTTTTTTTTTTAATGATAGGGGAACTCGTAGCCGTTACCATTCGAGTGCTCATTGGGTAGCCTCACGGGTTGATGCAATAGCCTGCAAACAACGACAGTCAGGTAAACCGCACTTGGCAAGCCCGGTGTAACAGGTTCAACTGAGAAAGTGTTGATAGGGAGAATTGAACTCGTGACCAAAGACCTCCGCACTAATTGGGAGCTCTTTCTTAAAAATAGGTTGAACCCCAATGTTGAGGACCCCCACTATCTCGCCCCTAGAGTTTTGTGAAGGAGTTAAATCGCAGGATGTGCTCCAACAGGCAAGGGAACAAGAGTTGCGTGTACACTATGCCTACAAGGAATCCAATTCCATGTCTCAGAAATCAAACTCCCACACTGCGGTTGTCAGCAAAGTATAAGATAACCTCACTCCTATCATTTACACCATTGAGCTATGCCCCGGGAGGCAACCGAGAGCTCTTTCTTGATTCTATGAGCAGTGATTCATGGCCATTTTTAGTTTATGGAGTGATTTTTTTGATTAATTTCATTAATGAACAATACTCTGGCACGCATACTAGCTATGTGATAATTAGATTCATGTACTAGGAGAAAGATTTTTAATTCCTTAAGCGAAAAAATATTTGACTAGTGGTTCCGGGGTTTCTTATGGGCACAAGCACCCAAGGTAATTTAGTCTCATTGTTTTTCATTATCTACAAACTGCCTTTTTCCTAGGTGATCATTTTGTGAGTGAAAGCAAATCAAGCAACAATAAGAACCAGAGAAGCAGGCATGATAATCCTACTAACTTAACATAAAGGAATACTCGAAGAAGAAGAAATCTAAGGTTATCGAGAAGAATGGTCAGTTTAACTCAAAAAACTGACATGGCTACCCAGAGCCGGTCTTGTTATTTTCGAGGCCTAGGGTGAACTTTGTAAATTAGGCCCCCCAAAGTCAACGTAAATATAAAATTCAATGGTGTATTATGCAACCGATCGTTAACTTAAAACTAAACAATAAAACAACAAACAAAATATTGATTAAAATCCAAGCACGTTAAAAACCCATTTGAAATGGCAAGAACTGTTCAACCCGTTCATCCTACTAGCAATTTTTTTTCTGTTTGCACTCTCTGTCCAGTTAAAATAAACAATTAAGCATACAAAATAAGTAGAAACTCCCATAAGTTCTTCTTAAAAACTATAATTTCCATTAAGTCCAAAACGGCAAAACCTAGAAACCCAAAACTTACAATTTTCCCCTTTTACCGCTAATATAGGATACCATTTTACAGACACTGGAAATAGCTCGAGGTCTTCCCTTGAAGGGGAAAGACGACTCTTCAAAAATGGTCGACCTTGAGGGTGCCGTTTCTGCTCGGGATCTGAGGATCGTCGACCTAGAGGAGGAACGTGCTCAGCTGTTGAGGGAGTGCGAGCATATGCGAAATGATCTTCGCAATGCTCAGGATGAGGCTAGTACTGCGAAGGCTGAGGCTAAGCACTTCAAACTCGAGCTCGAGTGCAATCAAAAGGATTTGGATGCAAAGCTGGCCAATGCTCGGGAGGAGGCAGTCGAGGACTTTAAGAAGTCTGACGCCTTCAATGAGTTGAAGGGCGAGTATGCTATGGGCTCTTACTTTCATGCCCTGAAGGAAGCTCGAGCTTTCATTCGTCTGAGGCTAGATGCTCGCCCTGAGGATCTGAAGTAAATCCCCGAGGTGGCTGACAACCTTCATCTTTCAGAGTCTTAAGAAAACGCTGGGGATGAAGACGTCGACATTGAGGGTGATGATGTCGAGGAAGGTCAAGGCAGTCAGAACACCGACGCCTAATCCCTGAGGATCCTCTTCTTTTTGTAATTGTAATTTTTTTTTGATGTAAAATGCCCGATCTTAATGGAAATAGTTTTTCCTTTCCACTGAGCTCATTCTGTATTACCGTCGTGTTTCTATTTCATATGCATCGAACTTTCATTAACCAATATCTCGACGACCGAGAAGGATTAAATATCTCGATGACAAAGACAATTAATTATCTCGACGACTAAGAAGATTAATTATCACGACGACATTATTGAATTAATATCCCGACGACTAAATAATCATGACGATTGAGAAAAAACAATTTGATTTTTAAGCAAGTCATAATGCCGAGGACAATAGCGAATAGTTTAACACCTTGACGGTAAAACTTTCCCGATGTTTATATTGAATTACCTCGAGGACTAATCGCGATGGGTGGTAACCTCGGGGTGTTCGAAGAATTGTGACCGACCTTTGTACATAAGTTTATCCCGAGCTTTCACTTTCCAGCCTTGGACAAAAATACAATGATATATGGTCGGGATGTATGTCCTCGGGATTTATACTTGTGCTATACTATTTTGATGTGCTGATTATGAGCTCTAAGATTTTGGTGCTTGCACGAGGCAAGGCTTACATGCTTGCTCGGGGCAAGGCTTTAAACTGCTTGCTCGAGGGAAAAGCTTACATTGGCTTGTCAAGGACAAGGCTTAAGGGGGCTTGCTCGAGGGCAAGGCTTACATTGGCTTGTCAAGGACAATGCTTAAGGTGGCTTGCTCGACACCAAGACTTAAGGTGGCTTGCTCGACGCAAAGCAAACTATCGGGCTGTTATACCCGAGGTTTGGATTCATTAATTGTTTGGACTGGACTTGGATTTATATTGTATCCAAGCTGCCTACGTACCCAAACGGGATCAAGCCGAACGTAGTTCATTACAAAAGAAAATGGAAAACATGCATGGGCACGCAGGCCTGCTAAACTAGAAATAAAATGTAAGGGCACGTAGGCCCGGAGAACCAAAAATAACATTCAGAAGAAAAAATGCAGAAAAAGAAAATCTCCTAAATGGCGTCGGGAATGTTACTTGTAATATATTTTTAGATTGTCGGCATTCCAGGGCCTCGGAAGAGGTCTACCCGAAGTGTCTCTTAGGCTGTATGCTCCTTTGCGAACCTGTTGTATGACCTCAAAGGGCCCTTCCCAGATGGGCCCGAGCTTCCCTGGGGGGTGGCCTGCTGTGTCGGCCCTCCTCAAGACCAAATCGCCAGCTCTGAACCTTCGAGCCTTGACTTTGCTATTAAAATGTTTTGCTGTCTTAGTTTGGTAAGAGGCCACCTTTATAGCGGCTTGCTCCCGTACTTCTTCCAAGAGATCAAGATGTTCAGTTGTATGCTCCGAGGTTTCTAGCACGAGCCTTCTATGGCTTGACAGTCTAATTTCCACTGGGATCATTGCTTCAATGCCATAGGCTAACATAAAAGGGGTTTCTCTTATGGTTGTCCTATGAGTTGTTCTATACGTCTAAAGTATAGAAGGCAGCTCGTCGAACCAAGAACCCCTAGCATTGCTTATTCTTGTTCGGAGGTCTTGTAATATGATTCGATTTGTTACCTCGGCCAGACCATTGCTCTGAGGATGCAAAACTGATGTCAGACGGTGATCAATCCCAAGGTTTAAGCAAAAGTTTCTAACTGTTGATTGTCAAATTGCCTGCCATTGTCGGTGATGAGGACCTTTGGTATCCTAAACCTGCAAATGATAGACCTCCAAGTGAAGGCTCTTAGCTTGGGCTCTGATATTGTGGCGAGAGGTTCGACCTCTACCCATTTTGTGAATTACTCTACTGCTACAGCAACAAACTTTAATTGACCTCTTGCCACAGGAAAGGGGCCGAGGATGTCAACTCCCCATTGTTTAAACGGGGCCGAACAGTTAATGTTGGTGAGGTCTTCGGCTGGCGAGTGGATAACATTACCAAACCTCTGGCACCTATCACATCTTTTAACATATTCTGAGGCGTCTTTTTTTTATAGTTGGCCAGTAGTACCCATATCGTACGAGTTTAAAGGCCAAGACCCTGGCTCCTTGATGATTCCCGCACACACCTTCATGAACTTCAGCAAGGGCCTGGGATAATTCTGATGGTCTGAGGCACCTTAGGTATGGAAGAGTAATACTTCTGCGAAAGAGGACACCGCTGATCATACAGTACCTAGGTGCTCGGGCTCTGATGCTTCTAGCCAACCTGGCATCGCTTGGTAGATTTCCACTTGTGATGAATTCTATGATTGGGTCCATCCAGGATGGTTCGTTGTCAATGTCCATGATATCAAAGATTTGATTGATGCTGGGTTCTGTGATGATTTTAATGTGAACTGTTCTATCAAGGCTGTCTACCCCCATGAACACAAGCCTGGATAATGCGTCGGCTTTTCCGTTGTCCTTTCGAGCAATTTTTGCAATTTCACAACTCTTGAATTTTCGTTGAAGATCCTGAACATTCATACAGTACAAACTCATTTTGTCGTCCTTTCTTTCAAATGATCCTTCAATTTGTCCGACCACCAGTTGTGAATCGCTGAATATCTTTACGAACTTGAGCTCAAGGCAAAGGGCTAGCTCCAGAGCAATAACAACGGCCTCATACTCGGCCTTGTTGTTGGTTGCTTCAAACTCGAACCTGAGAGCACATTGGATCTCTGTTTGTTTGTTAGGGCTGATGATGATGACCCCTGAGCTCGAGCCCGAGGAGTTCGATACTCCATCCACGAAAATTTGCCAAGTGTCCAAATTAGTGCTCATGCTCGAGCTGTCACCTGGCCCCCGAGGCCTAGGAGTTAGTTCTGCAATGAAGTCAGCTAGTGCTTGGGCTTTGATAGATGGGCGTGGTTTGAATTCGATGTCAAATTCTCCAAGCTCGATTGCCCATTTCATCAGTCTTCCCGATACGTCCGGCTTCTGAAGTATATGCCTAAGTGGTTGATTAGTGAGCACCACAATAGGGTGAGACTGAAAATACTGCCGGAGTTTTCGTGTTGCTACGACCGAGGCAAGGGCAAGTTGTTCCGCCAAAGTATACCTTGTTTCCGCATCCAGTAGGACCTTGCTTACATAGTAGATAGGTTGTTGGACTTTGTTAACCTCTCTCACCAAGACCCCGCTGACCGCGTTTTGGGATACGGCCAGGTACAAAAATAAGATGTCACCCGGCTCAGGCCTAGTGAGAATAGGAGGAGATGCCAATGTTTGCTTGAGCCCCTGAAAAGCTTTCTCATAGTCTTCACTCCAATCAAAGCCTTGGTTTCCTCTGAGGACTTTGAAGAAGGGATAGCACCTGTCTGATGCTCGGGACATGAACCTGTTCAAGACTGCTATCCTACCAGTCAACATCTGTACCTCTTTCTTATTCCTTGGTGATTCCATAGACGCTAAGGCTTGTATTTTGTCAGGGTTAGTCTCTATCCCTCGGTGAGTGATCATAAAGCCCAAGAACTTGCTCGAGGCCACGCCAAATGCACATTTTGCGGGGTTCAACTTCATTTCGTACTTTCGCAAGGTGTCGAAAACCTCTTCAAGATCTGAAATATGCTGGTCCACCTGTTTGCTCTTGACCACCATGTCATCAACGTACGCCTCCACATTCCTTCCAATCAAGTTAGCAAAGACTTTGTTGATGAGCTTTTGGTATGTTGCCCCTGCATTCTTCAAACCAAAAGCATGACCTTATAACAGTATATGGCAGAATCGGCCATGAATGATGTCTTTTCTTGATCTTCCTCGGGCATGAGGATTTGATGATAACCAGAAAATGCATCTAAGAAGCTGTAGAGCTTATGTCCAGACGTGCTATCTACCAAGTTGTTAATCCGCGGTAGGGGATAACTATCCTTCGGACATGCTTTGTTAAGATCTGTGAAGTCAATGCAGATCCTCCACTTACCATTGGCCTTTTTCACTAAAACAACATTGGCAAGCCAATCGGGATATTGGACCTCCCGAATGAATTGAGCACTGACGAGCTTGTTAATTTCTTCGCGAATTACCTCCCGACGTTCTGGGGCAAACTGTCTTTTCCTCTGCTTTACTGGTCTGGCCCCTGGGCTAATGTTAAGTCTATGGACTGCAATTTTAGGGTCTATCCCTGACATATCCTCAACCTTCCAGGCAAAAACGTTAATGTTACGAGATAAGCAACCAACAAGTTCTGTCTTCAGGGTGACGTCAAGATCCCTACCAATCGTCACCTTCTTATCATGCTCGAGCTCAATTTCCATCAATTCTTCGACAGGAGCAAGTCTGACTTGTTGCCCGTCCTCGGGATCCATCCTCGAGATTTGCATGACGTCGTTATTTATTTCTCAAACGCTGGCTACATAGCATTGTCTGGCAGCTGTCTGGTCTTCACGCACGACCCCAACGCCATTACTTGTTGGAAACTTCATGGCTAGGTGGAAGGTAGACACAATGGCTTTAATCTTGTTCAGGAGTGGTCTTCCCAAAATAGCGTTATAGGCCATTGAGACATGTACCACTCGAAAAGATGTCATCTCCGTAACCTGTTTCTGTCCAGAACCCAAAGTTAGAGGAAGCTCGACGACACCCTCTAGAGTGATGACTCCTCCCCCAAACCCCTGGAGAGGAGTTTTAACCGCTTTGAGCTGCTGAGATGAGATTCCCATTTTGGCAAAAGCTTCTTGTGAAAGTATATTAGCCGCACTCCCGTTGTCAACAAAGATTCTCTTTACTTCAAAATTGGCCACAATCGCTGAGATTACCAAGGCATCATCATGTGGAAATGATACACCTTCTAAGTCCTCGGTCCCAAAAGTAATATCCTCCAGCTTTCCATGAGGCATCCCAGAGGTCAAGGCATATTGTCGGGCATATTGTTTTCTTCCACTGTTGGAGTCTCCTCCCGAGGCAATACCCCCAATGATGATATTGATGATTCCAGCAGTGGGTTGACCATCCCTTTTTGTCTCAGGGGCTTTTTCCCTGCCACGATCATTCCTCGGGCGTTTGTCGTTACCGATGTAGGAACTCAGGAGTCCTCTTTTAATAAGGGCTTCAATCTCCCGTTGCAGGGCCTTACAGTTCTCCGCGGTATGCCCATGATCCCGATGGAACTCACAGTACTTGTTCATATCCCTGGATTCGGGTGGTGACCTCATTCTGACAAGCCATTTGAGTTCCTTCATATCCTTGATTTCTATTAATATATTTGTCTTTGGCATATTTAAACGCGTGAATGACGTCGGCGGAACCTCCCGTCTCTGTTTTTTCTGATGTTGTTCTTCATGGGGGTTCGGGTCGTGCTGTCGTTAATGCTCGACCCTGTCATGGGGTGGTCCAACCTTTCTCGGGTTCAGTGTTTCCTCCATATTTATGTACTTCTCGGCTCGGGTAAGAAGCTCGGTCACTGTCTTTGGCGGAGTTTTGGATAAAGACATCTTGAAAGCCTCACACTTTATGGCATATGTGAGGGCAGAAACTGCTGCAGTTATGTATAGGTCGGGAATCTGAAGTCTTTCCTTGTTGAACCTGGTCATGAAGTCATGTAAGGTCTCATTTTGCCCTTGTCTAAGTTGCATGAGGAAAGCCGCTGTCTTCCTGATGCGTTTACTGCTTGCGAAGAAAGCAGAGAACTTGTCCGTCAAATCCGAGAATGAGGCTATGGAGTTGGGCTCTAGGGTTGAGAACCAATCTCTAGCAGCATTCGTCAAAGTTTGCGGGAAGGCCTTGCACATCACCTGATCTGGCACGACATGTAGATTCATGACGTCCGTGTATACGTTAAGATGATTGATTGGATCGGTGGTCCCATCATATTCTTGGATCCTAGGATACTTAAATCTGTCTGGCAAGGGGAATGTTAATATCTCGGGAGTAAAGGGAGTATTGGGACTGAATCTTGTTGTCCCTTTGTTGCCCTGAAGTAGGCCCGCCGTAATTCCTTCTTGAATAATCCTAGCGAGTTCCCTGGACTCCATGGTCACTGATCTCGAGGCTGAGGTCACATGTGGTATACCCGAGGCCCCTGCTCCGCCATTGTCAGGGACTTATCTTTGAGCTTAGCTCGAGCATCAGCCATAAAACCCCCCTAGGGTGCCGGTGTGGGTGACGGATGCGAATTTCTTTGACTTAGAAACTGAGTCAGTGTGGCGACCTGTTGTCTGAGCTCTTCAAAGGCTCCAGTAGTGACGACTGCCGGCTGGGGCTCTGGCACTTCTGATGATTCCTCTTGAGGAACAGGGATATTCTCAGGAGGGGGTTGGTTTGGAGCGGATGAGCTTGCTGGTGGAAGACCTGATCGTGTGTTTACCATGGTTTTTGGTAGCGCTTCCCACAGACGGCGCCAATGATGCTACCAAAAATCGTACCTGTAGATTTCCCGAGCTTGATGACTGATAAGGAGCACGAACATGATCTTTCGGTACCTGAAACAAAGGCAACGAGGTGTGTTCTCGTCGCCCCTCCGATGCTTAAGTCAGAAAGGGAATTTTGTGCGTGAGGCTACGTGCTGGAGAACAATGAAAAACGTACCTGAATAATGGCTCAAGGTTTTATATTTATAGAGGTAGGTGGTGTGTTCATACTAGGATTCCGTAGTGCAGCTGTAGTAGGATAGCTTGATTTTGCAATCTTATCCCAATGAGTCCTATGCAAGATAGGAGTTTGAATTGCGGTATAATTGTGATACCAATAGAGTTCTTCTGAGCATAGGAGACATGAGTTGAGGATTTTTAGTCAGAATAAATTTCTCGTTGGATAAGGCGTTGACGTACGTCATAATCCCGAGGACATGTCGAATGATTGTCGAATAATTCTTGGGGCTAATAGCTCGGGCATATGGAGATACCCGAGCACAAATGCCCCGAGCATAGTGGTAAACATATCGACGAAATAGAGTCCTCGGGATAAATACGTCGGGACAAATACTTGGTTATATCACCTATAAAAGTGGGTCCCAACTTGTGGTTGCCTTGCCCCTCGAAGGAGATCGTTCTATCTATTCCTCAATGTGGACTAACGAGAGCAGCATCATCCTTAGAATGATGAGCACTTATAGAAATATTATCGATGATTATGCTTTGGATTGGCAATAGTTTGTAATAACTGCTTATTCAAGTGTACTTTTCAGCTCGACTTATAATTGTCTTGATTGATCAATTATAGTTGTTGGATGACAATTTACCATAATTGTCTAGTTATTAATAGCTTTCTCTGAAGTAACAATTTATGACAATTATTTAACTAAGTTTATTACTCGTTTAAGCAATCAACGAATTGCTTGATCATTAATTGCCTTAGGGGCTCAGCAATGTAACATAACATAACAATAAGTCTCGAAAAAATGCATTTTATAATAGTATTATGATAGAGAATATGTAGTTAAAAAATAAGAAAAAATATTAAATTTACGTGTAATATTATTTTATTAAATAATGTGATTAAAATTAAATCAAATCACTATTCAAAAATGCAATTTGATGGAAGAAATGAGATTCAAACAAAGTCTAACAAAGAGAAGAGAGGCATAGAAAAATGTTACTTTTCATTAATTCAAATGATAAATCACGGAGGGAAAAGTAACAAAAAAATGTCTCGGCCAGGTCGGCGCAAAATGAGACAATTAAAAGCTGTCAAAAGGCGAAGGTTGAGCAAGGTACTCTCCGGTCGTAACGACAGACATGAGGCGGAGACAGCGGTTGGGAGGCGGGGCATTGCTGGGCTACAGCCCATGTATTTTTTTAAAAAAAAATATTTAGGCAGCCCAGGAATGCTCCCAGCCCATGTAATTTTTTAAGAAAAGATTTTAGAATTATGCCCCAAATGTTAGCATTAGTCCATCTCAAATTTAAATATCAACTCAAGTCCAATACTCAATTATTCAAATTGTATTAAAGACACTACAATTATTAATTACTCTTTTCAAGACATTCATGAAATGTGAATATTTTATTATCAAATTAGATATTCTATTTAATGCGTGTTTGACTAAAATTTACTTATAATTATTAAGTAAATTTTATTACAGATAATTTTTATTAATTAAATCTAAAAGTAAATTACTTATTCTAATAGTTAGAGACACTACGTATTTTTTTAAATTACGTATGTTTTCATTCATCACTAATTCATATTTATAAAAAAAAATTACTTATATTGCCATAAAGTAGATATTATGATCAAAATAAATAACTTACTATAGATTCGATATAGATAATAAAAAGAGTGTGTTAAAACTTAATTATTTGTAAAGTAATCTATGTCGACAATAAAAATAGTATTTTTTAAAACTTTCAATTGTTTGGAAAGATTGGTTGTCAAAGTTACTAGAAGAGTACTCATTAAATAATTTTTTAAATGTCCATTGGTGGATATGTATTTTTGTTTAATTCTATCATGATTCGATTAGTTTATATTTTTTAAGATAATCATCGATTTTCTATTTGGTAAAAAAAAAAAAAAAAAATTTAGTGGAATATCTTAATGTGAGACATCTAAACTTTTTATTTTTATTTTTATTTCGTTGAGTGTTGTATATTTTTTATCGTGAATGTCACAAAAATAGCCTCTGAAACTTTATTTCTTGTGGTGTAAGTTCATTCAATATTTTTGAAATTTCAGCCCACTATAACATAATTTTCTAGCTCCACCCCTCACATGCAGTTTGAGATTCTAGAATACCAAAGGGGCGTCATTTCTATTTTCAAATGAACGGTCGAAATGCTTCACATGCTTTTGACATTCAATGCACCAATTTAATGTGTTTCATGGTCATTCACTTTCGGGAAAATCCACTTGTAGCCCTCATTACATGAGGGGGGGGGGGGGTGGTCCCACAGTGATTACAAAAATTTTTGAACCCCCTCTCGTGTGAGGGACTATACATTTGAGTGTACTTCCCTTCACTTTCACTCCCAATTTGTCAAGCTAATTTCCCTACATCCAATCATATTAAGACACTTGTGATAACGGGAAGTCTTTCACCTTATATTTGAGAGAGAATTTTCAGTGGAGCGAGCGCACCATCCACTTCATATTTGAGATAGAATTTTCAGTGGGGTGGGACCACCATCAGTTGGGAATCTACTTATACATGCACAACGAAAAATTAAAATTATTTCGATTCCCACCAAGAATCCCTTTGTGTTTAGATAGAAATTGTGATAAAGATTGTACTTTTGACGAATTCTGCAAACCTTTTGCTTTTCTTTTCGTTCTAGCAATCTTGATACGCCACCCACAGCTGTCCAATTGTTCAGCATCCAACGGTGATCCACACAGAGAACAAGATTACAGCTACCAGGGTTTTTCTCTTGTGCCAGCAAGAATAATGAAAACCATATGGACCTCAAACCCTAGCCATGTATTTATATAAACTCAAATGGGCTCGGCCCGGTCTGGTTCAATATTTAATTAATCCATTTAATTAAACCCGGTCTGTGAATTAATTAATCCAATTAATTAATTCGGGAATATAAATAACAAATCCAATTAATTAATTTATCCAAATATTGTTAAATTGACCAATTCCCAATTCGCAATCTTCCAATTCTCTTTTGTGTGCGACCCATTAGGTTTCCGACCACGATACCTAACGACGTAAAATATTATTTTGATCTAATCAAAAATGATAAATTAAAACACCCTTTTAATTTATCGTCAATTCACACTCGCCGTCCCTGATTGACATCTAGTAATGTGTCAAGCAATACACGTGACGAAAAATGTCACGTGGTATGACAAAACCAAATTCGTTCGTTTACCGTGAAAATATAATCCCTTCGTCAATATGATCCGATCAATTACGAGATATGAAATTGTGTCAATCCCGAATTTCGATCATATCTTTCACTTCACTATTAAGTCAATATAAGTCGAAAACTCTTTTTCGACTTATGAGTACACTTTGACCAAGGATTTCGTTATCGACTTAATTGAAGGAAATGTAGATCATAATCTCCTACTATTTAAGAGTGACGAATCCTTTATTGGTCAATCACAACCTTCATACGATTCTTGACGTACCCGAACGATGTCGTATTAGCGGCCCTTTGCAGAGCAACATCCAACACCGCCAAAGTATGACTGTCCTCATATAAGATACCATGATGACCTCAAGTCTAAGGACCAATTCCACTACCGAACGTTAGAGATTAACCACTGACACTCAGATAGTTATCCATATGGA